ATGTTCTATATAATATAATATTACATTATATAATATTATGTTATAGTAATATTATATTATATTACATCATATTAATAATATTAATATTACGTATTTATATTATGTACAGTGAATAGTGATCACCAAAACATTATGAAAGATTAAATTCCTACCCTTCCTTATGAACTTAATCTTTTATGTTTTAACAAAAGAATGATAACTTTGTTAGAAGATTGTTTTTTAAACTTTTAGATGAAAACCATGTGTCAAACACAAAATTTTTAAAATATTAGAAATAAATCTTTCAAAAAAACAAATGCGCCAGTAAAGTGCCCTATTTGATTGAGTTTTGTTAGATGTCTGCCGGCCTTGGAAGCAAGGAATGCTATGGTGGTCTTAGGCTTTGCCAGTGAGAGGAAGGTTAAGGGAGCTTTAAGGCTGCTTTTGGATTCGGAGAGGCAGGGTTGAGGTTCCCCTGGAGTTGCCTGAAAGTTTTCTCCCTTTTATTCGGCAAAGTTACCAAACATTACCATAAAATAAGCACAAAGAACGCAATCAAATTCCCTTAATGCTCACAACTCACAACCAATTAAAATTCCTACACAGTTTGGACCGTTTTGTAATTTTTCTCAGCAAAATAACTGCATCGTAACAAAAAATATATGTGCAACGTACGAACGTGCAACCGCTATACATATGTTAAGGGCATCTCTTGCATGTGAGTGAGTGAAGTGCAAAGTGTATTTTATCTTTCTTTTGTCATGTGATCACAAAATTAGACAAATACCATGATTGGTCTTTATCCCCAAATTCAACTAGAGAAGGACTAGGTTTTGGCGCGTAATCACAAATGTGTCTCCTTAAAATTCGAAGAGGGATTTTGGACCTAAACTTTCATTGATCAATAACCTTGATAACCACAATCATGAATTTAGAAACAAATAAATTAAAATTTTTAAAATAAGGGTTTTGTATACCATGAGACTATTTATCTTTATTACAAAGAGGTCACAATTACTCATAGCCCTTAAATGTCAAGCTTGTTGGCTTTGGGTATGTCATGAAGTTCGAGATTTTTTTTTTTTTTTAATCTTTGAGTCTAGTCAATGATATACGTACAACCACTTGATTTGAAATTTGACATACAAGAATGATTGTGATCAGCTTATACCCAAAATAAATAGTCTATGAGGGTATGGTCCTTAATAGAGCAAATTGGCGGAATAGGATTCGTGTAGCCGGTCCCAATTAGTTGGGAAAAGGTTTTGATGATGATAATGAATATACTTTTCATTACAATAAATTGTTAAAAAAACTTATATTTGTATTCTTTCTTAACCATTGGTTTTAATTATTTTTAAATCATCAAATCTATATTATATAGAAAAATATATGAAGAGACTATTTATTTTTAATACAAAGATGTCGCAATCACTCTCAATGATTATATTTCAAATTCAGTGGTTGTAAGTCTTTCATTAACTAGACTCAAATTTAAAAAACAAAATTCTTAAACTTTGTGACACACTCCAAGCTATCCAATTTAACATTTAATGACTTAGCAATTGTGACCTTGTAGCAAAGATAAATAGTCTCATTGTATACAATCCCATCTCATGCTATATTTTGAGTTTCTGCATCATCACTGAAACAACATAAAAGTGCATCTAGAGTAAGTTAAAATGTGATTTTTATCCGCCATTCATTTATAAGGGTGTTAGATATGTTGATATCCAAAATCACCTACATAAAGAAATCCCATATTATGTGGGAGTGAGATTGATATTGATAAGTTTTTTAAAGGAAATAGAAATAAAAGGACTAGATTATATCCCTACTTAAGTGATAGATATATAGCATCTATAGGAAGTATCATATTTGATGTGGATTCCTAATCTTTTAAATATGGGAGGAAAGTGCAGAGAATTGATGTGTCATATTTGGGTCAACATATGAGAAAAGTAGCTTCTTCTAGAGAGGTGAGGCAAGGCCTCCCATGAAGATTTTGGGTGGTTTTCCCAATTGCTCTCAAGGTTTTTTTCTTGAACAGTGATTTAGACGGTCCCTTTCTAAACAGTGGTTTAGTTGTGGAAAAGAGAAGTCTCAAGGTTTTTTTCTTGAACAGTGGTTTAGATGGTCCCTTCCTGAACAGTGGTTTAGTTGTGGAATAGAGAAATCTCAAGGTTCTCTTCATGAAAAGTAGTTTAGATGGTTTATTTATGGACAATAGTTTAGCGGAGGAATAGAGAAGAGAGCACAAAGCGTTCTACCTATCGGGAGAGCGGGTCTACAAGGGTTTACTCAACTGAGTTTTGTCGGCGGTAATAGAGGTAATTCTAAGTTCTAAAATTTGTAATGTAACTTTCATCGATATAGTGGATTTTAGTTTGTCGTACCCATGGATGTAGCTCTATTTGGATGAAACATGCAAATCTTTGTATTCTTATGGTGCATGTGTTTTATGATTTATTTATCATAGTATGGCTTGTGCTCTCTCATATTTTGTTTTTAACTGGATAAGTACATGATCTTGGTGAGGTTCAACCTTTGGGATTCACACTTCCGCATCTATGAGGCTTCTTAAGTCCTAATAAACGACACATTTGATACACATGAAATTTGAAAGTATTTTCATGCAAAAAAAAACCTTCCTCATGTGATAAAGGGAGTATTTTCATACTATTTGACTGCGAACTTGTGTAAAAAAAATTATACGGGGATCAATTGGTGTAAGAAACTTTCATATTTTATGACAAGATTTTTCACATGAAAATACTTCTCAAAAAGTATTTTTAAAAAAGATTAAAGATCTTTTATATATAATATAAGGACGTCATAATTAGTTATAACCATCCAATATGAAATCCAATAGATTGGGTACGTTACAAAGTTTAAAAATTTATTTTTTTAAAATTAATGTATGATAAATCAAATAAATGCAGCCATCCAATTTCTGGTTCAGATTAGTTATGACTTCCTTAAACAAAAAAAAAAAAAACAGTAAACGATCTCATTGCCTACTTCTAGCAAACGCGCCCTTGGATTTTAGAGGGTACCGCCCCGCCCTATGACTAGACCCAATTTGAACTTCTCCCATGAGAGAGCAGTCACTGTTAGAGAGCAAATCCCCAAGCACCAATCTCTCACTCTATCTCAGCCCAAAACCCTCTCTCTTCTCTCAAACCAAGTTAGAGAGCAGCCACCTCTCTTTCAGGAGGAGGCACTGAACCAGATAGCTATCTCTTGCCCTAACTCAAGACCCATTCTCACAACTAAAAAGAAGAAGCAATGTACTCTGCAACTCGCTGTGTCATAGTTCCTGCTCCTCGCTCAATCCGTTGCCTCTGCTCAAATGTCCTCTCAGAGTCGGAGCCCTCTCATTCGTCGCAAAAGAAAAACCTGCACGAGCTCTTCCGACGACCCAAAGTCGAGGAAGCCCTAGCCGATCTCTTCCAAGAAAATGACCTGGACACACTGGTTGAAAAGTTTAAGAAAGCCTCTGAGAGGTACCGCTTTCGGTGCACGCACAACATCTATGGGTACACTGTGATGCGCCTCGCAAAAGCCAACAAAAAGAGCTCCATTGAGGAAATCCTTGAAGAACAGAAGAAGTATAAGGCCACAGCAACAGAGGGATTTCTCATAAGGCTCATCTCTCTCTATGGAAAGGCTGGTATGTTTGATCAGGCTCTCAATACATTTAAAGAGATTCCTGAGTTCAATTGCAAGTGGACTGTGAAATCGTTTAATGCTCTTCTCTCCGCGTGTGTTAATTCGAAGAATTGCGAACTGGTCTCTGTGCTCTTTCAAGAGCTATCCACTGCCCTATCAATCGTGCCTGATGTTTTATCGTATAATATACTCATGTTTTCTCTGGGCAAGATTGGTTCTCTTGATTCTGCATTTTCAATGCTTGAAGAGATGAGACAGAAAGGGGTGGACCCAAGCATTGTTACTTTTAATACTCTCCTCAATGCTTTCTATGGGGAAGGAAAGTGTGAAGATGCTGAGAAGATTTGGGAGATAATGGAGAAACGTGGGTGCAAACCCGAAACTACGACCTACAATGCAAAGATAAGGTGGTTAGTTGCGGAGGGCAGGACCATGGAAGCCAATGATTTGTTGGGTGAATTAGGCTCTAAGGGGTTGAAGCCTGATGCGTTCAGTTTCAATTGTGTGATGAAAGGGTTTTACAACCACGGTGATTTGGAGGAAGTGAAGAGGATTTACAGAGAGATGAGAGATAACGGTTGTTTGCCCAATAGGACCACATATGAGATGCTCATTCGTTTACTTTGCAAGGCAAAGGATTTGAAGATGGCTGCCGAGTTGTGTGAGGAGGGTCTTAGAGCTGGGTGCTCCATTGGTGCCGGGATAGTTCAGGAGGTCGTCGATGAACTAATCGAGGATTCAAAGGTTGAAAGAGCCAAAAATATTGTGGAGCTTGGATCATCAAAAAGATACTTACGTGAAAGTTTGAAGATGCCTGCGGAAGAAGTCTGACATGCTCTGGTAATTGTATCGCATCATAAAATACCAAATAACCTAGTGCAATACCATAGGGGAGAGAGATAGATGGTGGGATCCTTATGTTGGTCCATTATTCACTAATTAAAGGTTTTTCTAGAGTTTCCTGAAAGGTTTTCCTTTTCAATCACAGTTTTCCAGATTTTGAGGGTATCTCATTTTAAATTTCTGTTGCTAAGTATTTTACTGTGGATGTGAGAGAAGAATCGGTTTCTGAGCTGTATGTATGAGAAGCAAGGATACTTGTTTTTCGTTTTTTGTGTTGTATGGTTTGAACGATAGACAACTTAGCATTTTGTCAAGGTATTTTGAGAATCTCATTTTCTTTCTTCCAACTAAAAGTATTGTCATATAAACTGAGCTGGTGTTGCCTGCACCTTTTTCTTTCATTTTGTGATTAAGGGAATCAGTTTATGGCCCTTTTGCAAAGATGGTTCTCAAATTTGTGCATGTAAAATTCTTGCCCATGGAAGTAAGCTTTGTTTTTGGTAACCCATGTATTATCTTCTTAGGTTATTCTATATTATCGATTTAGTTGTGTTTTTTTTTTTTTTATTTGCAAGACAGTTATACCTTCTTATTGTATTGCATTGCATGTGTTTATTTTGAGAGCATTATGAGCATTCCTTTTAGCTATTCGGAGAACCTTCTTATGAGCGCATTTGGAGTATTCATCACATGCCAAAGGTTGAGATGGATGAGTGGCATGACAAGAAGGGATTGAATTCGAAATGAATACATTTGGGAGAACGTAAGTATGGCTCCAATAGCTGATAAGATAAGAGAAAGTAGACTTAGGTGGGAGGGCTATGTGCAACGCACACCTAGTACTGTTAGGAGATGCGAGTTGGTTCAAGTGGAAGGCTAAAAAAAGGCAATGGATAGGCCCAAAAAGACATGGTTGAAAATAGTGAGAAAAGATATAGCGATTTATGGCTTTGCTGAGGGTATGATCCTTGATAGAGTAGAATGGTGGACTAGGATTTGTGTAACCGATCCCAAATAGTTGGGAAAAGGTTATGATGATGATGATGATGATGATGATCACATACCAAATGTGAACCATTCATATCCTCACATTGCCATCATGGAGTTTGTAAGATAGTTCCCTAACACTCCTCTTGGAGTAGACTAGTCTTGCTGTTGAGTTGATGCATGACTTTGGTGAGTCAAGTTGTCCAATCATGAAGGCCATAAGAGGGCCAAGAATTAAACAGCTGCAATAATCCAATTTTTGCAATACTAGGCAAATGGTGGTGGCAATTTAGGGAACCCCATTAACATCTATGGAAGGAGGTGATTTGAAGGATTTGTGGTTGGCTTAAGGTATAGCAAGGCCTGCCAATTTTGGTGAAGGTGGATTTGTGAAGGCTTAAGGTATAATAAGGCCCGCCAATTTTGGTGGAAATTCACAAGAGAGAGGTGTTTGAAGGATTTGTGGTTGGTTGCCCAAAAAATGACAAGTGATCGCACCTTTTCTAGGAGGGTTTTGGTGTGAGAAAACTCTCCCCTAAAGGTTCTCGGGTTCCTTTCCAGCCAGAGGTCCCAGAGGATTGTGGCAATCGAGGCTCTCCATAAGAGGATACCTGATTTGGCCCATGGAGATGACAAATAGAAAGAGAATAGAGGCGGAATGGGCTGCTGGGTGGCCCAATACCACCCAAAGAGCTTAAGGATGGAGCCCCAAAGATGGGAAGTGAGCTCGCAATGCAAGATGTGAGCGTTGGTTTTGGTATTGTTACGGCACATGATACATCGATTGGGGAATTGCACTCCCCTCCTTTGAAGTTGGTCTACTGTTAAGACCATTCCATGGTCGCAACCCATTTGAAGAACTGACTTCGCTGGGTAACCACTGTGGCCCAAACTTTGCCTGCTGGAAAAGGGTATTATTGCACTCTCCTTTTAAGTTTCAGTTTTATTTCTTTTGCAATCCTATGTTGATAGTCTCACTGTCCATTCTTTTTTAGAGAGAAAAACTGAAGTGGAACTGTTGTTGCCAATTCCATTGCATATAATGAATTCCTTTCGAACTTTTTGTATTTTCTCAGACATAGAAACAGAGAGGGTATGGATTCTCTTACTTGCTTTTCATCAAAAGAACTGATGCTCATGATAGGCACTTCTAGTGAAGTCTCTATGTAGATTCAAAGCTGTTTGCAAATCATGGGAAGGCCTTCTCTCCTCTCACTCCTCTGTCCCCTCCTCTATCTCATCTCCACAACCTTGCTCTCTTCATTGGATCATGTAATTGTGTTAAGCAAATATTATGTGGTTGGGATGTCATCCTTAGCTCTACCTTGGCTGCCAAAGAAATAGAGTATCAGAACAGAGACCTGCATGATATATCTCGCAGTAATGGCATGACAGCATCGCATGTTGCAGGTATATGATGAGATGGAAGGCAGCGATTTGCCATAGGAAACCCACTAACCCAAAGGAGTTCATTTGTCTAATAGAATTGGATTTTTTTGGTTTTGAATATTGGTTTTCCTTCTACCTCATCACCTGAAACTTCAAGATCTTTTTCGACAACGAGGAAATATGGAACTTCAAGATGAGTGCGTATATCATTCGAACCAAAACGCTTTGCTGCCCATGCATCAGTTTGTGTATAATGGCTTTGCTTGGTATGGCTTGTGCCTAGGCTCTCTATATATACTGCATTTTGATGGGAAGATTGGGAAGAGTGATGATTACGAGTTCATCCACACCTCAATGAGTTCTGATATTATGGAGGAACATCAATTTGCATTCCACAAAATACACGGATGGAATGGTCAACTTTCTCATGTAGTGGGAATGTTGGGAAAGTTTGAAGACAGGGATCTGGGTTTTAAGTGAAGTGAATGGAGGTTATCAGAGCAGATTTCAAGGATTTGGATTTCATTGGGTATGGTTTTTATCGAGGGCTCTGGACTGATGCTAGATTCTTTCCCCACAATTTGGAGAACATGATATTTGACAGAAGAGTAGCGAGGTAAAGAGGTTGCCACATTACAATCATATGCTCAATACTTGTGTGACTCTGTGTTTGTTTTTGTTGGGGAGGGAGGATGTTTTTATGAAAAACCATATTAGTGCATTGAATTGATGAACTATTATGACACTCTTGAGCCTTCTCAAAAACATGAGTGGAGCCTCTGCATTTTCCTCCTTCCCTTGTCCCTCTCCATCCCTCTCTCTGCTTCCTATCTCCATACCTTCCTCAACCTCCGCCAATCTTGCCAAGTTTTTTCAGTCTTCTCTGGTCGGAGCCTTCCAGCCCCAGAGAAACGACTCCAAAGGTGTTGAACGCTGGGCCAAAGAAGTGTGGAGAGAACCAGGTCTGAAATGCAGGCAGCTGTCTGACGATGACTTCCTCTTCTCTTTCCCCTCGGCAGACGGTGTATCCTCCACTCTCAGCAGTCTCTCTAAGATGTCCTTCAAAGGAATACATTCATCGTGTGGACGCATTCTTGGAGGGAAGGAAACCACGACGCTGATTCCCTTGCAAAAGCAGCAGCGGAGATGGATGGACTCTAACAGCTCTCCCTTTTTGGCTTTCCTTTTTTTTGCCTTTTTTGGCTTTTTCTGTTCCAAGGATCTGCTTCTTTTCTCAGGTTGCTGTTCCAAAACAGTAACTTTTCGAAAGAGGCTTTAGATGCCTTTTTTTTTCTTTTCCATCTCACCTTGAGCACCTTTTTTTGTGGTAAGCCAATGTTTTGTACACTCTCTTCTTAAATTAAAGGTTAACATGTTAAAAAAACTATTATGACACTCTTTGGAGAGAGAGAGAGAGGATGTTTTTATGAAAAACTATTTTTAGTGCATTGAATTCATTAACTATTATGACACTCTTTGGAGGTGTAGATTTCATTGGCCAAGTATGGTTTGTATTCATTGGTTTGGTACTTGGCTATCTTCTATCTGAAACTTGGTTGTCCAACTGTTTTTATGGTGTCCTACTTTTTTTCTTTTTCTATTTTTGTTTACTTATCAGTCATCACGCTGTAGTGAATGTTAAGTTTCTGGTTTGCTGCTTCATGGCTGTTATAAAGTAGCGTACTTTTGGTTTAATTTTTTCTGAAGGATATGAAGGTGTAGCTTGATGAAGGACATTTAGATCTGCACATGCACTTTCTTGATAAGTGAATATGTCATCTATATTAACGAAAGAATGTTTCTGTTATGAATTTGCTGCAACCATACTGGTTGCCTTCTTTCTATTTAGCTTCATTCACATTGAGAAGTGGGTTGAATTATTCTAAATATTCTCAAGGTTAATATTAATTCAAATTAACATACTATTAATTCAAACTTTGTGGTTGTAATTAGTATGTTGAATGGTAGGTCTTACTGTTTTTATGTGTCAAACCATTCGCAGAATGTATATATCATTCTTCTTGCTTGCGCATTTCAACTTCAAAGTTATATGTCACCATTTGTTTGATGAAAGATCACAGCTCAACCATGATTTTCAATCAGTAAACTTATCAACTCTTTGTGTTTCATAAGAGTGACAATTCACATCAAATTTATTTTATGCAAGTCGTAACAGAAATGAATTAGGGAGTAACTGTGTGTTCCTTCATTTCTCTGTCTTTGAGTTCATATATAACCATAAACCAGTAGATCCTAAGCTTGTTAGGAATAAAACTGTGTTTCTTCGTTTCTCGGTCTTTGACTTCAGATATAACCATTAACCAGTAGATCCTAAGCTTGTTAGGAACCCTTAATTTCCTTCTTTCTTGGCTCTTTGGGGAAAAATCATAGCTGCCTTAGGAAGAGGGAGTGGGGCAGTGATATTTCTCAAATTTCAAGTACCTGGCCAGTGTTATTTTTGTGTACTAAGGGTGAACCATCTATTGACCTATCTGCTCATGAAGATGGCGTATTTACGTGTTTGCCTCATTTTATTTTTTTACGTGCTTTGCCTCATTTTATTTTTTTAATTTTTAATGGCCATTATTCTCCTTTTCTTGAAAATTATTGTTTATTTCCTTTGTTAACTCCCATATTGTTTTATCAGGAAACCCCAAATGGGTGTTGATAAACTGTTCGAGCTCATTCACTTACCCACCCAAAACATCGGTGGCAATAGCAAAAAAACGAATAGCAGTACCTTGAACGATATATATTAATTGTCATGTATATATTGACGGATCTCCTGAGAATTTTCGAGGGTGATTAGAGAAAGGAAAAACAGCTAATTGAAAAAAGAAAAAGTGTTTATGCGGAGGATGCATTTCTACATGTGCGGCATAAAACATCAAACGTAAAGATGGATGCTTATGTGTGGTCCCTCTAAAAAAAGTTAAAAACTAAAGGCCCTCATATTTTCTTCATGGAATTATCATATGTAATTTTTATAATTTATTATTTTTACATATTTATGACTACATATTCCATAAAATTTAAGTCCTGAATCGATCTCTAAAATGGATTTTTAAGAGGGGACTTAGAAACCTTGTCCTTGAAAGCAAATATTCTTAAGAGGCTTGTTTCTCAACATTTTCATGGAGGCGATCCCCTGCTTACCAATGCAATACTGAAGGCCCTCACCACTCACTACCAAACCAGAGCTTTTATTTAATTCAAGGAAAATTTTAGATGAGATCAAAATTTGAGCCCTTAAATGATATCAAATGGTATATTACTACCTAATCAAAGCTTTTATTCAATTCATGGAGAATTGTAAATGGCTGCGGTTACCATGCTGGTGAAGCCTGAAATGTAGAAATGTGGGCCCCTTAATAAATCTATTTTTGAAATGGATTGTTGGACTTACTTTTAAAGATATGTAATCTCTAACATGGAGATCATGAATATGAAAAAATAAATAAATTTTAAAAATAAAAATAATAATTTTATTAAAAAAACATTTTTTTTAATTGTTTTTAGATGGACCACAATAAAGATGAATGTGCGGTCCAACCCACATGAAACAATTTTACATTTTAATTTAGATTGTACAAAAATTTGTTTGAGCTCTTTCTCTTTGGCCTTCTCGAATCCATGCCACCTACTACCTACTGAGTGTGTGTTTCTAGCCTGCAAGTTGAGCCCTTTATTTGCTTCCTAAAAACCTTTCAAAAAAACTCTACATTAAAGCCCATTCCAATAATAACTCACATTTCAAGAATAAATCTCAAATAGTTTGTGTAGACGTGTCAATTAGTTGAGAAATAACTTTAACAACGATGATGATAATATTTCAAGAACAAATCTCAAAGAGTTTTTGTAGACGTATCAATTAGTTGAAAAAAAACTTTGACGACTATGATAATATTTCAAGAACAAATCTTTGTATGCTGCCTGCCATACAGGCTCAAACCGCTTACAATTTGTGGTGCCTCATCTCTTAAAATTTTTGCATGTATTATCGCTCTCCTAAAAGTAAAACACCTCCAAGAATTTGAGCGCATAATCTCTCCTTTAACTCCTTTTTTAATTTTTTTCCCTCCATTTTTATTTACAAAGAAATTTAAGTTGCAGAATCAAGAACTTCCTGATATTTAAGGTAGCTTTCATCAAGTCCTCTCTCATTAACTCCTTTAGGAGACACCCACCCGCAAGGTAGCATCTGTCTATGCTCTTACAATGGGGAAATTCATCCTCTTTCCCATGGAAAGCATATGTTCTGGACTGGTTTTATATCCAGCAATCGAATTAGCTCTCTTAGAATTGAGATTTTCTTGCCTCTTTCCGTTTGTTAAGCACAAGAGGCCGACCATTCACATGGCTTAAGGTTGGGAAGCGATGTGAGCGAGAAAGCTCCATTTCTTCACAGATGCTTAAGATGGGATTTTGGATTCGGAAGAGCGGGCTAGATTATGGGTTCAAGGATGATGCTTAATAATTCAGATGAGTTACTAAGCGGCAAACGTGAGATGACAGGTACTCACAGATGAGTGATTTTTTCGAGCAGGGAGAGTAAAACAATCTTGGAGTTTGGAATTGAATAAATCTACCCAACAAAATATATAAACTCCTATTTTTCTTATTGAAATGTATTTGATGAAACCATTTACTTTTGATACAAGAAAATCACACTCGTTGTCAACTGTTGGATGTAAAATCAGATGGGTGGTGATATACCACTAATTGAGCACAAAGTTTGAAACAAATTTTCTTGAAAGCTAAGATACATATTAATATATTAGATTTCACATCCAATAGCTCAGAAAAGTTGTCCTTTTACAAAAAAATAAATGGTCTCATAATATACAATCTCTTTTCTTAATCTAACTTCATCGCAAACGTCATTTAGGACCCCCTTGAGATGATTGGATTCATGCAGTAGTGGACAAAAGAACCCTTATGGAATCACATTGAAGAGTCCAACTATGTGATCATTTTCTTTATAAAATATATTGAATTTTTTGAAGATCGAAAAAGTAGCTATATTTGGAAAGCATATCTATTCATGAAAACCTCGCAATTTTGCCAGACTTTCGAATATCAGACACCAAAAATATCACTATTAAGGTTCACCAAACTTGGGCCCAACTAACCGGGCCATTCAGGTTTGAAAGAATTACACTCGTTATAGATCATCCAAAAGGTCACAACACCCCACATTTGCAGAAGGCACACATTGCCATTGCCAAATTAGCTACAAATGAGTCAGCTAGAAAATCAAGCCCTGCTGGCATTCGGATCTTTTATCTAAACTTGGCCATATAGGTTAGCCACACAAATTTCACCCCCAAAACTTGGAACCCCTGTCCAAATTAGGGGTGGCATTAGATTTTATAGTTCCAAACTGTGCATACCTGGAACCATTCACAAGGCACCAAAGCTCTGGTCTTCATTTCTTGATAATATGTACAGCACCTATGCCACATCGCAATGGAACATGGCCAGCTCATTCGATGGGGTTCGTTGATTTTTGTCGATATATCAAAACCTAATGGTGACCAAAAAAGGAATAAGGCAAATGCAAGTAGATCAACCAATAGCAAGAGAGAGAGAGAGAGAGAGAGAGAGAGAGAGAGAGAGAGAGACAGATACACGACGAGAGACGAGGGTAACGAGCATGCGAGCGCTCGACCTAATTCGTTTCCGTGTAGGTTGGACTAGTTATTGACTAGTTATTTTCTTATTTTCTGGAGGGACGTAGGTATTTGAGTCGGCG